AGTGAACAAAGTTAATTAATATATTTTGTTATTCATATGAAAACGATAAAATAAAGTTTCATTGAATCAAAATTAAATTTTATTTAAATGCAATTCTCAAGTCTTTTTCCTTTAAATGGCATTGAATTTTCGTACTAATTGGATTATTATGTAGTTCTAAATTGATCAACGTCTATGCACAAAATGAAAGATATTAAGAAAATAATTTATGAAAGCAGAGATTTTTACTTGATTATCATGTAAAATTTCTACCAATTGTCGTGCTCCATCATCTTCAATTTGATTTTGAGAAAGATTCATTCTAGTAAGTACCTATGAGAAAAACGAATCTTGTAGATATGTGTTCAAGTAACATAAAATGAGACAATATTTAAATTTACTTTATTCTGTTGTAAGCCTAGAGCAATATTTTGTGCACCATGGTTTGTGATCCTATTCAATGATAAATCAAGTTCTTTAAGTGTCTATATGAAGAAAAAAAAGAATGTTAGAAGAAGCAATGCTGACGGAAAATAATATTATGCCGTATTCTTTCGTAACAAATCGATCAGGCAATATGTTCCTTCATCACCAATTTTATTATTTTGCAGTTCTAATTTAGTTAATATCTAAAACAATTAATAAAACTTTAAAGTTCAAATGCTAAAAAGGAGTCACTAGTTCACTTTGTTATCAATCAATGCATCAGCAAGATATTCGAAACCTCTATATCCAACCATGTTCGTATTCAAAATCAATGAGCAGATTGTCTAAAGAAAGAAAAATCTTCGATCTGCCAAATAGGCAAGCAATGAAACCAACTGTAGTATTATTCCGTAATATATTACCAAGATGTTGAGCACCTTCTTCTTCAATTTGATTGGAAGAAATATTTAATTCAATAATTGTCTGCAATATAAGAATAATTTCAATTGTCCTTTCGACTAATTTTTAAATGAATCTACTTACAGTGGTAGAATGCAAATAATCAGCGAGATATTTTACTCCTTGGTTGCTGATTTGATTATTTTGAAGACTCAGTTTTTGTAGTGTCTATATATTGAAAATCGAGCGAAATATAAACGGATCTTCGCATCTTTATTTTACTGTATTTTTCAATAAAGCATTTGCAATATGTTTTAAACCAAAGTCTCCAATTTGGTTTTCATCTAGGATCAATTCAACAACGGTCTATTCAAAAGTAATTCTTTAGTATAGGAAATAATCAATGTTAACAAACTTGATTTTCTTGAAACTCATTCGCCCAATACTCCATGTTTTTGTCTCCAATGTTCCGACTTCTCAAATCTACTATGCTATGTGTCTACAACTAAATAATGGTAGAGATCAAAGAAAGTACCAATACCCTCACCATGACATGTCTCATCTCATACTTCATTTCAACAATTGTACACAAACTACTTTGGTTCTTGTCTAGACGAAGTTCTAATAGTGTCTGAACAAGAATCTGTTGATGCATAACAATCTTCGTCAGCAACATAATTTACCTTGTTCATTTTCAGAGCATCACGAAAATGTTTTGCTCCAATGTCGCCTATATCATTGTTTTGCAAATTCAGAGTGACGAGTGTCTTCGAAAATAAACAACTAATAGTTACATATCTTGTTCAAACTTTTCAACCATCATTCGAAAAATATGATTGTATAGAATAATGTTAACAAAAGACGGCTCAATATTGAAACATACGGGATTATTCCGTAGAAGAATAGCAAGATATTCTGCTCCGATATCTCCAATTCGATTTTGTCGAAGATTTAATGTTGTTAGTATCTAAATAATTAAATGGATCATTTGCGTTTTGAAATTTAAAAACAAAAGAATATTTATATTAAATATTATTTTAATTTCGTTAAACTTAGTCATTTATTCGTTGACATTGAAGTATGAATCAAAACCAAGACATTCAAATTTCTGAATATCTTCATTATATATTTTACAAGATGATTTAACAACACGACGTACCCTATTATTTTGTATCGCATCAGTGAGATGTTTCACTCCGTTGTCTCCGATTACATTACAACTGAGGTCCAATGATGCGAGTGTCTTGACAAGAAAAATAATTTAAATGTAGAAGATTTTTTAAATTCAATCTAGTATTCACTATGTTATTTTGTAAGATATCAGCAAGATATTTCACTTCATCCTCTCCGATATGATTATGTTGTAAGTTCGCTGTAACGATTGTCTATTAACAAATAAAAATATATTCAATTGCATAAAAGAAAAACTAATGAATTACTTTATTATATTGTAATACATCAGCCACATACTGTGCTCCTTTACCAGTTATATGATTTCCTTGAAGATTTAGTATAGTGAGTGTCTGTCGATGGAATCAATCATATTTTAGGAAAAAAGAGAGTGAATGAAGAATTATTTACTTTGTCACATTTCACTTTTTGCACTGTTTCAACAATAAAACAAAGGTTGCTTCGATTTTCTCGTAGCTCGATATTCGCAAGCGTCTAAAGAAATAAAAGTAAAGACATGATAACATAGTATCGAATTATTTCTTACTATATTATTTCTTAATGCATGAGCTATTAGTTCTATTCCTACGTCACTCATGTCATTATATGCAAGAATAAGTGAAATCAGTGTCTGTAGATATAAGATAAAGATTTTTCGAAAACGAAATTTATGACATATACACACATTATTAGTTTTTAATGCTTCAGCTAGATACTGTGCTCCTTTATCATCAATCTTGACTTTGTCGATTGTTAATGAACTTAGCACCTTTACAAAATAATGCAAGGTAATATATAGATGAAACAGGCAAACGGATGATATACTTTATTATGCCGTATTTTATGAGCCGCCTCAACAATCATACATAAATAATTAGGATTTCGACTTAGTTTAAGTTTTTTGAGTGTCTAGAAAAAACAATAAAGCTAAAGAAGAGTAGAAAAAACGTTAGTAAGAGAATATACAAGATTATTTTTGTGCAACATAGCAAGATGTTCTGCTCCATTCTGGCCAATTCGATTTTCTTGAAGATTTAGTTCGACAAGTGTCTATTTGAAACGTGAGATACAAGTGTAAGGAAATTTTTATAGTGCTATCTTTTACCGTATTCTCTAATAAAGCATCGGCGAGATACTTTGCGCCAAGATCATTAATTCGATTTGTAGCTAGATTTAATATGGTGAGTGTCTATAAAAATGAGGATATGTAAAACTACTAAATGTGAAAAAAAAGTAGAATCACGTAAATATATTTTGACAAAATGATGGTATAGAGCAGTGTTAACAAAATGAAGCTATTACATTAGAACATACTTTATTTTTTCGTAGGAAATCAGCAAGATATTCTGCTCCCTTATTCCCAATTTCATTTCGTTGAAGACTTAACGTTGTAAGTGTCTATAATGAAAATGATAACTTACTTAATAAATACGACAATATTAAATTCGAGATTCGCTCAATTGAGATCGAAAGTTTAATTGAAATGAACATACCTATAATATTTCCAATATCCTGATAATAAATCAATCCATTTCACAAATTACATTTCATAACACAACAAATCTGATATAAAAATATATCTCCTCGTTTACCATAGCGAATGTGACTCATTAAAAATTTATTTTACGAAAACGAACGCCTAGTAGCATTGAAGACAAAGCATATGCAATTGGAGACTATGTTCTGCTTGTCTTGTTCATCTCTGATATTTTCATTCATTTGATACTATATCTTTCCCTTTCCTCTTTCTGCACTCAACTAATCTTTTGTTTGCTATGCAGTTTTATGAAACTTTATTGTTATTTTACTATTCGAAGTGCGCACTGCTTGTTGCCCACATTCGATCAATTATGAGAATAACAGAACGAATATCATCAAATATATATCTTATAGATAGATTTAACAACCAAGAAGCGAGTAATACCATAAAACATACCATATTAGTTTTAATGACATCAGCAAAATATTCGACTCCTTCATCTTCAATTTGATTGTTCTTCAAATTGATTGTGTGAATGGTCTATTAGAAACAAACATTTGATTGTATAAAAGAAAATCTAATATATTACTTTGTTATGTTGAAGAGCCTCGGCCAAATACAGTGCTCCTTTACATGTTACATAATTTCTTTGAAGGTTTAGTGTAGTGAGTGTCTATTGATTGAACCAATCACATTTTGGAAAAAAAACACGCGAATGAAAAATATTTTTACTTTATCACATTTTATTCGTTGTGCCATTTCAACGACAATACAAAGATTGCTTCGATTTCCTCGTAGCTCGATATTCGCAAGCGTCTAAAGAAATAAAAGTAAAGACATGATAACATAGTATCGAATTATTTCTTACTATATTATTTCTTAATGCATGAGCTATTAGTTCTATTCCTACGTCACTCATGTCATTATATGCAAGAATAAGTGAAATCAGTGTCTGTAGATATAAGATAAAGATTTTTCGAAAACGAAATTTATGACATATACACACATTATTAGTTTTTAATGCTTCAGCTAGATACTGTGCTCCTTTGTCATCAATATTAAGTCTTTCAAGGTTGAATGTACTCGGTGCCTGAAACAATAGTGTGAGATAATATATAAATGGAATAGAAAAACGAATGATGTACTTGATTATGTCGTATTTTATGAGCCGCTTCAACAATTAGACATAAATAACTAGGATTTCCGCTCAACTCAAGGCTTTTCAGTGTCTAATAATAACAAAATTTACAACTAAATATAAAAAAAGATCGAACAATATATATACGCTATTATTTTGCTGTAAATTAGCAAGATGTTCTGCTCCATTCCGGCCAATTCGATTGTCTTTCAGATTTAGTTTGAAGAGTGTCTATTTAAAACATGGAATAAAATATAAGCAAATTATTATTATTATGTGTTACTTTATTATTCAATAAAGCATCGGCGAGATACTTTGCACCAAGATCTCCAATTTCATTTTCAGCGAGATTCAATTCGGTTAGAACCTATTTTACAATGCTTGTTAGTTATAGGAACCAGTGTATTACGTATAGAAATCTTCTAATATAGGTTATATGTTCCTCTGCCATTACAAGTAAAATTTATAAATATGATGTATAAATCTGCACTTTAAATATAAGGAAAAATAATAGCATATCTTTTACCGTATCATTTTTTAATGCAAACGATAGATATTTTACACATTTATCGTCGATTCCATTGCAATCAAGTTCTAGTGTAGTGTGTGTCTATTGGGAAAGAAAGAATCAAAATCGTTCAGAGTATTAAATAAAATGCATATGTATTCACGAAAAAAAATTTTTAGATAAAACCGCAGGATGTTTTTTAGCTGCTGTTGACGGCTTCATAAAGCACGGTGCAGTCAACAACGTTTCACAGACCCTGATGCACTCAATAACGATTGTGGTATTTATACAAAATCGATGTTAGCGGTTTCGTAAACTGCAGTGCATTAAATAACGGCTGCGGTATTTATCTATTATAAATAATAGAATTTTCACAAATCGCAGTACACTCTATAACAATCACGGTATGTTGGCTGAAAATCATCGTTTGACAGAACTGAACAACACTAATTCTCTCTACCACTATTACACATACTATTGTATAAACGTGAAGTGCGAATAAGCATGGATATTTATTTAGAGGATGTCTTGTGCTGCTTTATTCATGATTTTTTATCAGAAATTTTTTCAATAGATATATGTCATACAAATAACATATGATAAGGATAATATTGTGTTGTCTTGGAATTCTTACAATCCTTTCGACTGAAAATTCACATCAACTTCGAGAAGTGTCCAGCCTGATAGTAATAAGTACTGCTGATTTCGGCATTCGACGAGAAAAATGACAGAGGAACACTACGGATTTTTCGCGTGTCATTTACGAAAATTATTGTATTCTAAATCGCGGTGAACACAGTTCTCGTCATGGCATAATACTATTGAGATTCTGGTCGCAGACTCATTAACGAAACTACAATGAAAATATTCTCACAAATTTGGTATTAAATTCAGTCGATGATTGACGTTTCACATGTTAGTGAATTCTAATTTTACATCTTTTCAAACCTGAAATGATTCTAACTTTACCTATTGTACAATCTCACCCTTATTTTAAGTGAGTGTACTTTGACAATATTCGATATAAACTATTTGGAAGATAGATCATCTTGTATCTCGAGTCGTTCTGCAAATTTGTCGCTACGAGTATTCACAATACATGTTGATCACAATTATTTGACAAATCCTAAGAACACATTGAATAAAATTGCGATTCCCACTCGTGAATCTGCGGTGTTCGATATCAGCAATCAACGCAGTTTGAAAAATCGTGTTTTCATAATATCGCGGTTGTTGTATGCGAAACCGCGATGAAATTTTAAGTCTGATGAAATGTGCAAAGACGGTAAAGATATCGTGCTCCACTTTTCTTACGGAATATTTGAATCTCCAGCTAAATAATCTGACTCTACAAAATGATTTTGTAGAAATGGGACTTAGCAAAGTTCACTACATTGTCCCTCAAAGGGTACAGTACCTGAAACCATTCAGGTTCAGGTCACCGAGATCACACCTAAGACTGGTGTGCTGCTTGCGAGAATTTAGTAAAATCGCGGTGCTTAGTAGTTTCAGAAACCGCAAAAGTCAGACCTTTTGTTCGTTTCTCAAAAACCAGTTACAATCGCGTCCTCATAAACCACGGTCTGACTTGCCGCGATTTTTACCGGTTTGTTTGCAAATTCTTTTTCATGAGTAATAGATCAATTAAAATAAGAAAGAAATCTAATATTTATTTCTTGTATTTTTAGCAGAATTGAAAGTCGTCCGTAAAACATATTTAGATTATTAACAAATGAATGAAATCAATTATGAATGTATTCTTTTTTAGGTTTTCTCATTTACAGAAAGTCAAAATTTTATTGAAGCAGTTACACGTATATTCTCATATGGTTTTTTATCATCGAATCTATGAACCTTTAAATGTTGAACAGATCCATCTTTATAATAATACTTTATGAATACCAATGAATAGACGCGATAAAGATAACATTTTTTTGTACTTTATCTGATATATAAAATTTGTTTAGTATCTATCTGAATAAAAGAGCATTCGATTATATCACATACATTACTTTCATTAGCTTGTTGCGTTGGTCCAATGAAATGATATGTACCATCTAGCGCTGATACCGCAAATTTGATTGAATTTGTTGGACCAACCGTTCTAATTGTAGTCGTTTGAAGTTCGAATGTACTGGATTGAAAATCATAGGCGCTAGTAGTAAACCATTGTTGATCGTACAACCAAAATAAAGTTTGAAATGAAGTTATGATAGAATTGAGAATACCAAAGTAATCCATCGTTTCTTCAATGAAAGAAAAGAAAAATTGAAATTCATCCAGTTTAGGTAACTTAGCGCAAATGAATTGTTCCCAATTGTAACCGTCAAATATAGAATCGAATGCACGATTTCGAGATATTAATTTAAGATGAACAAGTGCTGGTGTTCGTAAGAGCAACGATTCGAGAAGTTCAACATCCAAAAAACATTTGTTAATAGTCAATGATGTTAATGATGAAGAATGTTTGATAGGAAGGGAAAAAGTGTCAAAACCGGTATAATCTAACTTGCATGCATCCATTACAAATGTTTTTAAATTTTGCAACTGATCGATAATGGTAATACAATCCTTATAGATACAAGTGTCAATGGTCAAATACTCCAATGTGTTTTGAACTGGCCATGGAAAGTGCCTCATTGCGTATGCCGAATTATTTAAGCAGAGATTTCTAATATGCTGTTGATTCATAATTGAAGAGATGAAAATCAATGTGTTACTAGTTTCGCCTCTACATAAGCCGATTGAGAATGATTGCAAAAAATTGATATTTAGATGTTGTGAGAGCCTATGCATTTCTATGTCACTTATTTCATTTATGGTTAATGAATGAAGTCGCGTGAATCGACTACCTTCGAAGGAGGATGTGAATAAAGGAATTAGATTTTCTTCTGGATTGCGCTCGAAACTCCAAAAATACGTTCTAAGTGTAGTACCCGAGAAAGTGACTGAAACAATATTTTCTGGTTTAATCCATTGAGCAAGTTTCTTCAAATTAGACTTAGACTTTGAGTTAACGATAATGTTGAATTTATTGTAGATGTTCGTCGCAGCATAAAGATATTCGCAGACTTGTCGAATTGAAACTATTGTCTTAGTATCACAATAATCGAAAATTCGATGAACTATTTCAATTGGAAGATTAAGCAGATATGCATTCGACATTGATCCGTGTTTTTTTGGAATGAATCAAATCGTCTTATTTTACGTTGACTAAAGACGATTCTATAAAAAAAATAAAGCAAATAATTGCATTCTGGTCCTTTGATTATTTAACTTAATTTTGTTCATAAAAAGCTCTGCAAAATACATTAGTAAATACTACATAGAATGAATACTTCATGCTATTTACAACTAGTCCGGCATGACAATTTATGTTACAATCTGTGAGCAATTTGGGAAATTCTATGATCCAGAAGTATACTGAACAAAGATGTCAAAATTTAAAATACATACAAACCTTATCATAATTAAAATAAAAGTAGAAAGTTGGTTTTATAAAGATCCACTTACGAAATAAGAAAAAGTTCTAGAAAAGCTCATTATTCACAGATATGCATGTTTCCAATTTCTCACTATTTTGCCCTTTCACAAAAAATTATTTTACTTTTATTTGTTTTTCTATTAATATCTATTTAGAATGAATCGATACTTACCAGAATTACTTTTATTATTATTTAAATTCTAAGCCTCTACGTTTTATTCGTGAACGTGTATTCAAAGTGAAAACTGATTTTATATACGTGTAAAGTTTGTTTTTTTGCTTGGATTTTTCCTACAGAGTAGAAAAAAATTGCGTATGTCAATTTCAAGCATTATATTCAACGGAAGAACAGAACGGAAGTATACACGTGTGCAAACAGCAAATGGAGAATAAAAATACCCAGTGATGGACCTTTCCAACGTTGATTAGATGCTTCACGTGGTAATAATAATATTGTCGAGTGATGATACTCATGTAATGAAAAAAAGACAAGTACGTTTTCATGACTTAGAGTTGCAAGATATTGGGAAGAAGAGTGTGGGTGTACGTCTTTTATTTACTTACACCCACACTCAAATTGTCTTTAAAATAATCACTTCCGCTTTTTTCATCAATGAACAAAGAAGTCATTTCCATTTGCTTGTTTGATTTTTCAGGTCGATGGCTTAATTAATGATTACATATTGGATCAAGGGGGAAAGTGTAGATTCCAAGCATCAAATTTGCTCTATGATGCTGAGAAGGTGCTGAGGTGCTGGTACATTGATACATATTAACAATAATGTGTACACTTGATTGCTAGAAAGCAAAGCTGGTTTGACGTTAAAATTTCAGAAATCTTAGGGTCACGATTAGTTGCCGCTGCTAGAAGTTTCAGCCTGATCGATCAAACTTTGACCTTACTTTGGTACTTAGCGATATAAGTACTTTTGGGGCTGATAAGGATAAAAGAATCAGGGCTGCCCTGACCAGGAGGGGGGAGAAGTCAGGGGATATAACCTCCCCCCGCCCCGAGTAATCGAAAATTCCTTATTTTTATTAGCTAAAAGCTTACGAAAAGTTATAATTTTACATGAAATACGTCATTTTTTCGAGTACAGATTTTTGTACACCCCTCCCCCCAAAGTTGGAAGGGTCGGGGCAGCCCTAGAAAGAATGATTCATCCTAAAAAGATTAGACACACGGCTTGACATATCATTCGATAGAGAATTTAATTCTGAACAAAACAGTATAAACGCTTTTAAGTGAAAATCATAAATTGATTACGAAAAATCCAGAATATTAACAGTCGGCGGTCATATAAATGCTCTGCTGGATTTTTGTGTACCTTCGTTCTCTACTGTATGAGTCAGAATTAAAGGTCCTCTTTCAGCATCAATACCCATCATCAAGAGCTGTGAAATTACGAAGCTAAAGATCTGTCAAAAACTTATCTTCTGACCTTTTCGTATGATATAGCATTCAAAATACATCAGGAAGTATGCGATAATTAATAGTGGATATTTATTATGTCAATTGTTTCACGCAGAACTAGAATGATTTGCTAAGTTAATGGCACATGAAAAACAGGGTGTGGTTGTGGGGGTGAGTGTGGGGGTGTGGGGTGGGTGTGGGTGTGAGAGTTTATCTTCTTTGATTGTACACCCACACCCACACCCACAGCCACACCCACAGCCACACCCATACCCACACCCACCCTCAAGACGATTTGTTGAAGACCAGTTCATTTGTGAGGGCTTTCTGCTGCGAAATCTAAATTGGAAAATTTATATAAACAACGTGGACAACCAAGGAAAGTAAGATATGCTTTTCATTTTTACTTTTTTCTATATAGTAGGTTACTTTTTATTTTCATAGTAAATAAGCCTTTATGGTTCCAAAGAACCAATAACCGGTATCACTTTCTATTACGAGTTTTAAACACGATTGTGACTTCATTTTAGGCTCAAAGGAAATCATGAAGATGTAGTTGTGGTTCTTGGTGCGAGACACGATTGTATGAGTCCTTATTGCGTCTTCTATTTGTTGTTCATAAAGGCAAACAAGCCATGGTCACACAGTTACACTCACGTTTACGATGATGTTCATGGGAATGTGGTCTTGGTGTGAGATGCAGCTTCTACGTACTCTTGTTGATTTTCCCGGTTCTAATCACTCATATACTCACGCGATGCACACACGCATGCGCAGTCTTTTAGATGCTAGTGTTGCTGTAACTAAACGTTTTCATGAAGAAACATCAATCTTTCTTTACTAAAAAGACAAGAAGCTCTTTATCTGTCAAAGTTACTCGATATCTAAGTTGCAAAAGATAAGGACTTTCATTAAAATTTCAATGCGTTGCTTATTATATAATTTGTTGTTTGCTTTTGTATTTGGTATTCTTTGACTTCTCTACTACTTGAGTTTTGAATAATTATTTATGGGTGATAGAAAGACTACTACAGCAATTGATCAAGTTAGTTCCGAAAGTACAATTAAATCAACAACAGGATCCCGATCGGAGAAGTTCGATGTCGATGAATCTGCTGTAGTGACGGTAAAGAGTAGAAAGTATGTACAACAAAAATAAATGAAACTTTTATCATAGATGATTATCAATATAGAAGACCACGTCCCTTGGTCATCACTCTGATTACTGTACTCGTGATTGCAGTTGTAGCAACTGCAGTAACCGTTTCTACCATTCTTCTCACTAGATCAACAGAAGAGTCGTCCACTATTGCCATGCCCAATACTTTGTCTTCTATATTATCAACGACAGAACTTTCTTTGACAGTTAGAACAACAACATCGAGCGTCACTTCCATAGCAACAGCAACAACGACAGAGAGTATCACTTCGATAACGGCAGCAATAGCCACCGACTCAATTGCAACTGTCATATATACTTCAACAGAGACGATAGGTGAGATCTGAGCGTCGGAGAATCTGTTCTTGACTTATTTGTTGTGAGTAAAAGTCAATTGAACATTGTAAGTGTGAGACGAGATATAGTTGTGAGAGAAGAAAATGGTTTAACCTAACTCACATTCAGCATCAATATCCCAGACTGATACTCAGAACTTGATCAACTCTATATTAACAAGTTATCCTATAGACACTAAATGAGTTTACGAAAAACCCATATAGGAGTAGAAAATCAAATATTTAATTTTACAATAAACAATAAGTAATACTGAGGCTACTTTTTAGTCTAAAATGTATTCAAAACTCACTCTATGCCGGTGATAAGATCAATGAGGGCCACAAAATTCAAATAGTTGATTTCGTTGACATACTTTCCTAGTATTTAAAAAAGTAGATTTAAAATTTACTTGTTGTCGAACTGTTATAAAGGAAACATAGTCTCATTTCGACTGAGAATTCTGGTGTACGTCAAGGCCAACACAACCTTTCCATCAATGAAACATGGAAATTTTTATCTATACATTCGAATATGTTTTGATCCATAATAGTCAGTTTTAATGAATGGCATGAATAAGTCAAAGTTTTAGGAAAAATTTGTCAAAGGTGTAGATATTATTGTGTCCCGAGACGTCTTGTGTTTTCTTCGCTGTCTTGCAAACCCTTGGCCTGTTTTCAAGATTGATGAATATCATAAAGTAGATGCATTAAATTTAATCGAATAATACTGAATTGCGCTATCGACAGTTTTACTTAGTTTTGGTTTCTGATGGACACAATTCTTTTCCATCAAAGATCAACTTCTAAAAAGAAAACCCCCCGCTGTTAGACCGGCTCAGATTTATCATCTGCTGTGAAACATTCTTTAAACTTATTTTCAAGCTTAAGTGCTTTAAAGTCTATTTTGTACTCTATGTGAAACTTAAACTTAGTTATTTTTTTTATATAAATTTTCTATAATATTGAATAGCAACAAGTGTTCCAAGTACAACCACTATACTGACCACGACAACAACCGAAAGTAATACCCAACAACTTGGTAAGCAATATGTTAATATTTTATGTTGCATCCTTAAAAAAATTATAACACATATTCTCTAATTATGATCGGTTGCTATTTAATTAATATCAAAAGTTTTGTTAACTATTGTAGGGTATGCAACATTTTCCTAAACATATGAACAATCTATCACGAAAGTCTTATCTTTCACTTTTAATTGAATTTTAGGATGCTCCTTTTGTGAAACACGATCTGAAAGGAGTGTTGAAGTGTTTAGGGGTAGAAATCTGCACCCCCCCCCCCCCGCCCCTCCCCCACAGACCGTGACAAACGCTCACGTGACCCATCACAGACCGTGACAGACATTTTAACTAGTTAACTAACTAATTAATTAATTACTATTTAATTAACTAATTACCCATCACAGACCGTGAGAGACAGGCTTTTGACCCATCAAAGACTGTGACAGGCAGATCTCTGAACTCATGACAGACCGCGATAGACAGGCTTTGGATCCATGACAGACTGTGACAGAGAGGGCTCTGGACCTATCACAGACCGTGACAGACAAGAGTCAGGGATCGTTATAGACTGTGATAGAGGACTTTAAGGAAATATCAGATATGATGCATAACTAACATCTGATTGTAATAAATATGAAATATTATACTGTTGAAATTATATGATGTAAGGTAAGCCATTATGAAGAAATATACATCAGTATGGATAAAAAAACAAGAGCTTTTAGAATATCGGCTATAGCAGCTACATCGTGTTTCACATTTTTAATCCCGCAAAGGATTGCGCTAACAGCTTTTTTTTCAGTATTATACATATAACAGTTCAGGGAACATCAAATCATTCGCATTACAAATTTACTAAAACTTGTAGTTAAATCATGACGAACAATATTTTCGGATTCATTCACTACGTTTCTGAAATGGGTAGATTTACAACAATTCATGTGTTTTTCAATTGAGTTTGCGAAGTATAATCCTGATTTTTGCTAAAATTATAATTCCAATTTAGTTTCTTACATTCAAGAGTTACTCACTTGATGAATTGAATAAATGTTCTGTAAAAATTCATTTGTTTTTTCTTTTAGAAGACGGCTAAATTCTGAAGACAATGTATCACGACAAAATTTTAAGACTCAAAACTATTTACTATAAGACTTAAAACAGTTGTAGACTCAGAAAGAAGTGCACACCTATAGTATATATTCACTAAAGAAACATTTCTTGCTATGTCTTCTAGAATTTTACATCTTATAGTTTAATACAACTTGTTCAGTTCTACGAAGTTTTTTATTTAGTTCTTTTTTATTCGTTACCACTGTTTATGTGAAAGAAAACTTCTAAATTGCTTAGACGTGATGTCTTTTCTTACGTTTTCAATTGTTTAAGCAGTTTTCGTATAGATATGCATCGATTTCATCATTTTCTAAACTTTTTATAAGGTTTGATAGGATTTCTTAGGGTTTGACACGAAATCTGAAAAGATTCACAATTTGTTTCAAAACTCGAAATTTTCAAAGATGTCATACATTGCACGGAGCCATTTCTTGCCTCACGAAGTCCTATGAGTTTCGCTAAGATACCTCCCTTTTTTAGTGTTTAAAATAAAATTCTGCTTATTATCATATAAAACTTAAATACGCACATGTTGAAAGTTATATGACAAATCATCTCTAACGTTATACAAACTAAGAAACAAAGTAAACTAATTGAATATAACCCATAAATTCAAGCAATAGCATACTATATAATGAAACTAGCATATATCTCATATAAATACTAAAATTTAATTTCATAATAATTTTATTATTTTACTCATCTTTAGCAAGTTCATATCAATTGAAAAGAACTTAAAAAATCTATTTAAAAAAGCACATCCAGAGAAAGATATTTCCTGTCTTGTTGAATTCTGATAAAAGAGCATGTTTTATGATAGATTTTTTGTCTTTCTGATTGAGAAGTTTGCATGAAGATAGTCAATTCGAGAAATATGATCTGTAAAAGCCAATCATAGAATTTATTATTATATCGAGATTCTTATATAGAATCCTGTGACGATTAGTATTCCTCCAATTAAAATCATCTGTACTTCTATATAAAACTACGATAAGAACATTTTCTCTTCGATAACAACAATGTTTTTTTTCTTTTCATTCATTATAGTGATCCCCAATATTCCAATCGATGCTCGATGGAGACAGAATGGAGTCACCATTGTAGGAGGTCATGACTATGGCGATGCTACCAATCAACTCTCTTCACCTCGTGGTCTCTTCGTTAACGATGATCAAACAATAGCCATCGCTGACCACGACAATCATCGTATCATTCAATGGAAGGTGGGTAATACGAATGGACAAGTTGTCGCTGGTGGAAATGGCCGAGGAAATCGATTGAATCAATTAATTTGGCCATCCGACGTATTGATCGATAAAGAAACGAATAGTCTTATTATTTGTGATATGGGAAATCGACGAGTTGTACAATGGTCTCGTCGTAGTGGTACAACTCAAGGAGAAATCCTCTTTGACAACATCAGTTGCCGGGCATTAGCTATAGATAATCAGAGATATCTCTACATCTCGGGTGACGAAAAACATGAAGTTAGACGATACAAAATAGGAGACAAGAATGGAATTCTTGTTGCTGGTGGCAATGGACAAGGTGCTGATCTCAATCAACTCAACACTCCGACCTATATTTTTGTCGATCAACAACAGTCTGTCTATGTGTCAGACTGGGATAATCATCGTGTGATGAAATGGAATAAAGGTGCAAAAGAAGGAATTATTATCGCTGGAGGTCAAGGTGAAGGGTATGCTCTGACACAATTATGGAATCCTAATGGATTGTTCGTCGATACATTGGGTACCATCTATGTGGCAGACTCTAGAAATAATCGAGTAATGCGTTGGTTTAAAGGAGCGAAACAAGGCACTGCCATTGTAGGTGGAAATGGTTGGGGAGAAGAAGCAAATCGGTTCAAGTATCCCTTTGGCTTGTCCTTCGATAGATATGGCAATCTCTATGTCGTCGATGAGTTCAATCATCGTGTTCAATATTTTTCTATCGAGTAGAATCATTATGAGTGATTTTTTTTTCTTTGGTTTCGGTTCGAAATTAATTCGTATATATTGATTGAAATGAAGTTTTTTTCTATGTTATTCTCATTCCGGAAGACATATCATTCACATCCACCCATCCGATGACATGTGTCATTGAGCCTGTGAAACCCGATTGTGTTACCACGGACACCAGAACAGTTCCTAGCCGGCTTTTTAATGATTGACCGGAAGTTCTTTATAGAAAGTGAACTTAATATCAAAAGACATCGCTCACTTATCCACTTCCTTACTAACACTATCGTATCTCAGTCTACCCCTACTCTTGTACTAAAAAAAAGAAATAGATTTTCAAAAAAAGACAGCAGAAGGCAGTCCGCTAACTCATTGATCTTAATCAGTTTGAATAATTTAAATTAGATGATACAAATAAATGATTCTACATTGAAAAGCCATTCATTAATATATTCTTAAAAGGTTATTCTCTCTCTTCTTTCTCTTCTGGCTCTGATAATTAAAAAAAGATAGCGATTAAGCTTTAATCTACGTATACATGTGCATTGAGATAAATTCGATTACCAATATCTCAATGTATATGCATGGATAAAGCTTAATTGATTCACACATTAAGTGTTTATATAATTATTGATCATCATCATGGCAATGTAAACAATACGTAATGAACGAGAATGACAAAAAAAAGGAAACATTTTTGCATATTCATGGTCATTTTTAAGCACAGAACAAGTGCACATGTATGGAAAAAGAGAAAGGGATGTGTTTGTGTTGATCTCTTCTGTTCCCACATCTACATCCAAATACTTGTTTTATTTGTACTGAGGAAACTGAACAATTAATGAAAGGTCAATATTCATAAACATATGCTACTATTAGCCTAAGTGACTTCATTGTCTGAATATTTTCCTAATAAAAATCTTTTCTTTTTATTTTGAATAAAAAATACTATTATCTATTTCAAAATAAAGTGGTCTCGACTGTTTGTTTAATAGCTCGGCAACGCTGATAGTTATTGAGTCGCGGTTTTCATCGTTGGACATAGAGTAGCTGAGGGTACCTCTATAGCTGAGAATTAATGAACATTAAAAGTTTTTTGGAAGTTTCACAGATGTTTTTAATAAAACTCTGACAGATTATTTTGATTACATACATTCTTAATTTCAATTCAGCAAAACTACAGCTTAGGATGTTCTCTGTAAACACTAAAAGTGTTAGACTTTCCTCATATGTCTCTGAGACATAAGAAAAAAATCTCCTGAAAACAAATGACGCTAAATTTTCAAAATTTTTTGCATCAGATGTCTCATCTATAGAGGCTATAGAATCTACCGATTATTGTAATGTTCCATCGACTGAAGTGAGGGTCATACGAAAGTAAATGCATTTGTCTGTTTGTCTGTGTGTGTGTTTGTGGCAGGTCACAAAAGCGTTCAAAGCGAATTTCTCACAAAAGTTGAGAAAAGCAATGTCGAGGTCGTAGAACTCGAATCTGAAGCCAGATTTTAAGAGGGTGTGGGTGTGGCTGTCGATGTTCTACTTGTTCCTTTCAACAGCCACACCCATACCCACACCCACACCCACCCACACCCACACCCACGCCCACCCACACTCACACCCACCCACACCCACACACCCACACACCCCATACCCACACCCTGAAGGAAATCAACGAGTGGAGAATTCTTTAAAAAAAGGAGATTTTACTTATATGCACGCTGCATATGCAATTAACAAATCTGGAATTGAGAAGATGAAAGTCATTGATGAAGAAATGACAAAGATTATGGACAACGTTTCAGCAATTCAACAGAAACGTGCTCATGCTGAACGTGAATAATCAAGAAAGAAGCGTAAATTAACGATAGAACCAGTATTAATTCAAAATGAAAACATTTGTTGTGACTAATGTTTGTATTTATGATACGGTACATTTAGATCATTTTTTTGTGATAACCAGTTCTTTGATTTAATTTATTATGTTTTTGTAATGATCAGTTGTTTGATTTCATTATTATTTTTTTGTTCTAAGTGATTGCTTTTTGAGCTTTTTGTTTGAAATTTATACATAAACATTTGTTGAAATAATGTTAAATGTTTTATTAAAACCGTTTCAGGATACTAATAAGCTCGAACTTGCGTAGAAGTCTTTTTTTTGAGAATACAGAAATCCTCCTATATTCCTCCTTTTTTACATCAGATCCTCCTTAAAATTTTCAATGATAATCCTCCACAATCCTCCTTTTTTAAAATATAGCGTTGACATACCAGTACAAATCAGAAAATAAAATGTAAATGTTAGCATAAAAATAACATCGAATAAATGAGAAATAAGATATTTTCAGCTATCAGAAAATGATAAGTAGTTCTTTACTAAATGTTAATGGCTATCTAGAATTAACTAACAACGAACTAATTGTAAATATTGTGATCTTTTTTCAGTTTTGATTTTAATAATTATGCTATGATACAACAGTTGAAGTAAAACATTCCTAATATTAACCTATCAGACTCGAGCTCGTGGAATTAGTCTTGAATTCAGTCGGACTAGTATTCAATGTCCAATCACAGGCAAATCTTCACTGAAATCTACATGTACACTGCAATAGATGTAAATGTAACGCTTCCCAATACATACTCACATGCACATCCATCAAACGACTGTTAAAAATGATCGTTCTATTGATGAATCATCATTGACAAAATAAGTATTGACATTTAACGAAATTTGAACCTAGATAAAATTGTTAAGAAATTCTAACGAGTTTCAAACACGAGAAAAACCGAAGTATCTTAACAGGTGTACTATTTAATTTCATTCTTTAGAATTTTTTTTCGGATGATCATTTTGATTATAGAGAAATCTAATGCATGTTGCTAATAAGAGAGAAATCAGTGAAATACTTTAGTTCTCATAACACTCACATCTTTCAATTTAGTTTTATTATCAAGAGATATTTGAAGTTACAAAAAAAAACACAGATTAACATGTTATATGTTACTGGACTTTTGCTTCATTTGTTCGTTTTTCTTTTGAATAATCTACGTAAGGTACTCCTAAATAGAAGATGATATGTAAATTATCTTCTGGTTTGAACGGTTGTCGAGCAGATTGAAGACTGTTTTCTTGATGCTGCTGATATTTCAATGATAGAAGACGCATAGCTTCGGCACACACAATTCCCAGATGACAATGAACAGCACCAATAATATGCCACCAAGCATGTAATTGTGGATTAAATCGACTGATAGTATTAAATTGGACACCCATCTGTTGATCCATAGTCCAACATATAAAAGCTAAAATTATTAAACCAACATACACGATAAGCATATATTTTATCCGATGTACATGATGATGTGGTTGTTGATATAATGAGATCAATTTAATTATGCCTCCGACTACTATCAAACTAATGTGTATTTGAAATATCAATACAAATGCTTGTAAACTATGTACGTAAGTCCATAATAATGCATAAAAAATCCCAAATAAAATTAACATATCAATTGAAAATATTTTGTTTTTTATCTGTTTGAATTCATTCAATCTAATCAATAGAAACCACCAAATAATCATTGAATAGACCATTGGAAGTTCATCTGCCATTTGACCTAAATGTGTGAGTGTACCATGGAAATAGGCAGATCCGAGTCCAACAACTGCAAATCCCAAACTAGATAATAAAAATCGAGTTTCAATCTTATGGTATAAGCCTCGAATGAATAAGATTCCACCTAATATACACATCGAGAAACTTGAAAGACAATTCCAAAATTCAGCAATATACTGTGTTACAACATAATTACGTTCACACCAATCAATTGAACTAGTGCTAGGTGACCAATAACCGATATTCGTATCTAGTTCAGGTGCAAAATGTTTAACTTTAGATGGATGGATATGACTAGGTAAAACTGCTCGAGCATCAACAACAACGTGCCAGAATATTGTATTAGATAATACGTATAAAATAAAAGTCGATGCATACATGTTTCGAATACGAATTTTTCGTGCAAAATGTCTGAATACTTGTATGGTTGTTCTCTAGTTTCTATTGCCGTTGCAGTTCACGGATTTGTCATGTACCTAAACAGAAAATAAGTGTTCGGGTTTGATTATAATCAGTCAATATTATGGGGAAGGTGTCATGCCTCCGATACCTCCTCCCGTTGATTCATTCCTGTGTATAGAAGGAAAAAGACGCAAAACTATCGAGTCTAGTACAATTTATTGTATTTCTCAGAGAACTCTGCTTCATTGCACATTTCACTAATATGCCTATGTTTCTACCAGTTATCATCACCAAATGATGTGGAGATTTGATTGATATTGATAGAATAAAACTGGGAGATGTGTAGCGTTTTTTTTTCGACAACTTGTATTCTAATTGGTATTTCATTATTCTCAGTAATTTTCAGTTTATGTCAACTCGAATTAGAATATTTTTCCACACGACTAGCACGCATCCTAATAGTGTAGTGACACTACGAAATAATTTAGTTTTAATGACTTTTACTTGCAATTGTAACTAGAGAATAGAATTGAGCTCAGATTTCAAACTGTTAATTTTTGGATTTTGTTATTTATAATTCAGAAAATCGAGCAAAATATCTACTATCGAATGTAATATAGTTTATTTATTTTATTATAACTTTTAAAAAAACTATACGGATCTTTTTGTATCTTCGAAAAAAATTGGTTTCTGTTTTTATAAAAATTTCAATTTAGCTATTGACTTCGGAAAAGGTTGAATATGAATGGTATGTGTGTGTAGTTTTCATGATGAGTCACACGCTTACTCACAGTATTCAACTTATGTTTACTTTTTTTTCTCACAATTTGCTATTTTAAATGGTGGAAAACCAGTGTTGATCTCAAAATGAAAAGAAGAATAAACTGTATAACTAAGCACATTCCTAATTTTTTGTGTCACTTTGAATTTTTCTCTAAGTACGAAATAAACTGGAAAATCTATATTAGTAAATGTAACATCTCTGATCAAGTTAACGAAGCTTTTGTTCTTCTCTTGTTTTCTGTTACACATTTATTCTTACTAAATCACATTCTTTTCTTCTTTTGCTCGGCTTTTATATAAAAACGTGTAAATTGTACAAAAAAAAAGTCGAAGGATACCACCATAATAAGTGAACTAAATTTACAAACAAATCAAAATTAATATCTTTAAAAATAGCAAAGAAATCTGGAACGTATAGACATCTATATTGTGCTTTTTAAACATAGATTCACTCTTATTAGGTTCCATACTTTAAGCTGAAACCTTTAGTGGAAGATATTCACTCTGAGAATCATTTTTTGACTCAATTTTATCAAAATCACACGATCAGACAGAAAGAAAAAAAAATTTCGTATTGCAAGCATTAACTCAAACAAAGAAACCGGTCTATTTTTCACTTACTCGTGTACGAAAGACAACATTTTATTTGGGTTGTTATTTGCTCACATCTCGCCATACAGTCTACACTCTCTCGATAACAATTTGACAAGAAAGAAAGAAAAAAAGTATATTTTTATTCTCTCACGTGGCTTGTAACGACAGAAAAGAAAGAAAAAATTCACAATGTCTCGTACAATTTGCATGTCGACGTGCGACAAGATTACTATTTAAACACTCCTATTAGATAGTATTTCACAAAACTAACACTCGAGGAATATGCTGCGAGGAAACTATCACAATGATGAGTTCATCAACACATTCAAAGCATACTGTTTATGAAAACAGATGTTGCGTATTTTTTTTTGAATATACTTTTACCTGTATATTATAAAAATTCTACTGAATTAATTTCTGTTCTGCAGTATTTGGATCTGTTTATGATTGTCGCTGTGATTATGTGGATTTTTCTGTGAGTTATGATTTGGATTATTGAAATACTCATATTTAAATTCACACGCACACCACTAAAAATTTCACCATACTTAGAAGTTAATTACCATCTTCTAAGTAATTTACACAAATCTCAAAATTAAAAGCAAATTTCTCGTTCGAACAGAACAACTTTTAAAATTCGACTCTGGTAAAATTATAAAAGAATAAAACAGAGTATTTCTATCTTTGAAGTTTGTTTTTCAAAAAATTTGAGTTTTAAAAAAAATTAAAGATCGGTAATTTGTTGTTTTTACTCTGAATAATTTATATTAATTCAAGTGTAAAGTAATATTTAATTTTAAAATTTTTGATTTTTTGAGTTAATGATGACAAATAAGAGGACAATTTAGTTAAACAATGTGTCAGTTATGTGATGGATATTTGGGTGTGGGTGTGGGTGTAGGTGGATGGGGTGTGGGTGGGGTGTGGGTGTAGGTGTGGGTGGGTGTGGGTGTGGGGTGTGGGTGTGGATGTGGGTGGGGCGTGGGTGTGTGGGTGTGTGGGTGTGGGTGGTGTGGGTGTGGGTGTGGGCGTGCGTGTGTGTAAGGGTATCCACATAAAATATACCCACACCCACCCACACCCTCGAAGTGCCTTTTTTTGCTCGATGACCCCTCTTGAAAATGGTACCATTGGATTCAGCGTGAAATTCTGCACCTAACTCAAGTTGATTGAGAATCAACTCAGGTGAGATAGCGAATTCGGACACGAAATGGCGAATGTGGTGCTAACTTTACCGACGTAGAATGATTTTGTTCTCACTCGAGTCATAATAGACCTCTGGCGAAATCTCCTTTAACAACTACCATTGATTTCAATATGATAGTTCAAATCAGTATACCAAGAAAAACAACATGGTAAGATAGTCTTTTCAAATAATATGTAAAAAGAATTCATACACAAACAGATGTTGCTCAATGGTTCACACTATACTATTGAACGAGAAAGAAAACTAAGCATTTTCCGATTAATTGTCTTCGTGTTGTGAATGACAAACAACAATGAACGATTATGTTCATACAGAAATGCATATCATTACTTATTCAACATTTGCCAAAAAAATGAATTTTTTACGTGTAGTCTCTTAATTCATTATAATATCATTCTGATGTTTATTTTTCTTTAAGATAGATACATTCATTATATCATGGAACAGCAACTCCTAGACATTTTACCAAAACATTGGAATGTGTTCATCATCAATGGTGATGCACGGCCTGTAACAACAGCTCTTCGAAAACAAATACGAAAACTGAGTCCCAACCTAGATCAAGCATCTGATACAAAACCAATCTTGGTTTCTGCTGGATGTATATACTATATATATGTTCCATAATGCAACTGAATATTAGAAACATTCTAGTTTGAAAATAGAAAGACAAACCAGAGTTATTCTAGTATGTTTTTAAATTGATAATTTAGATATTGTGAAACCAAAGCCTCGTCATAAAAACGGAAGAAATGATATTTGTTCTGGCTCACCAAATTCAAAAAATATCACACAGCTTCAACCAGTCGAGAACTTACAAGCACCGATTGTTCAACCAGTACAAATGGCATCCACTGAAGGTATTACTGCAACAGGTTCAAATGATACAGTGATGTTTCAGTCAACCGCAAACTTAGTAACATCAATTACTGTACCAATACAAAATGGAACAATACAGTCTGATATAGCAGAAAAGATAAATGATACTGTGATACTTCATTCAATTGCAAATTTAGTAAACCCAATTGCTCTACGAATACAGAAAGCATCGAATGAACCTGAGTTTACGCATTTATATTCATCAAAATCATATGTTCAACTTAAACTAAAATCTGCTCATGGTAAAGTTTTTGATGAAGTTGTCTATAAATATTTATCTATGACTTAGAACGAGCTATTGTATCATACATTTTTGATTAACAAGTTTCTAATAAAATACTCGTCATTCGAACGGATTCATATATTTGTCAGAATGATATCACTTCGTTTTGAGTTTTTATTACATTGTTTGTATTGCTTGAGAAATCAAGAAAGAAAACGTTTTAACAAATCACACTTATACTTTATTTTATTTGCAATTTTCTTAAAAGATTCATCTGACAATATTCATTTATTTCAGTGATTCAAAGACCTGATGCAAATTCTCAAACAATCAATCAAGATTTTGAAAAGTAAGTTTTTATTTCTTAATATATTTACGCTTGTAGTTAAAATAATAAGAAAATCAAATCATTAATATTATTTTAAATGACAGAAAAAATTGGATTGTTTTGTTTTTCAATTTATTTGTAAGTCCGAATACGAATAACGATAAGTTTTACATTTTAAATATTTAAACTATAAAAATCCCAATTTACTTGAAACACAGATAGTTTTGATTAAATTGTAAACTAATTTGTTGTTGATATTTCATATCTATGAAACGATTAAAGAAAACACTGCATAATGACTTACAATCGTAATGAAAAAGAATTAGTAAAGTTGTCTATCTGCCGAGATTTCAACTCATTAATGAAGCGTGTATATGTGGACTTTATAAATTCATATTCGTTTAAGTGCCTTGTTTGCTTCTACTTTTTCTGTCAGCTATAGCTAGTATTCGTAAGAAATAAGATAATATAGCTTTGATTTTTTTTTAAATTGACAAAAATTATCGATGGATTACTCGATTGAAATGATTCTATAAAAACGAGTAACTTTTCCTCCACTATTTAGATTACATATTGAACAATTGGCAATGGTATCTGTTTCGCCACCACAACCGCTATCATTTTCAAAACAAACAACAATAACTCAAGCTTATGATAATTATGTCTTTAATCTAGTATGTTCTTCAAGGAAAGCGATGACTTTTCTTGTTATTTACATTTTAGATTGAAAATAATTATGATGATGCGAAGAATTGTGAAAATTTTATGGACGATGATTATGATAAAATGAACATCGTTGATGATGAAAATGAAATGTCTAGTGAAGAAGAATCTCTTTCGATTATAAGGATTAGAGAAGAGAATAAGAAAACTCTCGCAAATTTGGACGATGAAGTTGACCGTTTGACAAAAGATGTCAAAAAATTGAAGAAAGAAGCTAAACAGATGAACAAACAACTAAACGATGCCAAAGAAAAGCGAGAAACAGAAAAAGTTAAGTTGGATCAAAATAAAATAATGCACTTACAGAATTTAAATCGAAAAAATTGTAAGTGAAAATGAAACTTTAAGAATATAAATCATTTTCTAATTATAAATATCGTTCAAAATCAAAGAAACATCTGAAAAGATGTGGTGAATTAAGAAGAACTTAATTCGAATTCACATTGTTTTGTAATGTTTGAAAACAGATATTGTTGAAAAGTTCTGCAGACAATCCTGATTTAAACTTTCCAGAATTAGTCATTTTCGTATTCTGATGGATCTTATCGTTTTCTCTTCAAATCCTTGTCGGATATAACCGTCACACCTGACAAGATCCTGAGTAGAACTTGATAAAATCTTGACCAAATCCCTGTTGATAATATTGAGAGGATCCTTGGTAGGATCTCGAATGACTCCTAACAGGATTCTTTATTTTGAATTTAGAAAAGTATCTAATCAGGAACTTGGAGAAATCCTGAACAAGATCTGATTTCATCTTGAAAAATCTTGTTTTTGAAGATTTCTTAGGATTTGAAACAGGATCCTGAAAGATCCTAGCAAGGATACTAAAGAAAACAGTAGAATTGAGACCAGGATAGTTTTATTTGCAGTAATTGAAATGAGGATTTTATACTTTTACTGTACATAAAGAAAAAATCATTACTATTAGATTTCACTAATTTTCTCTCGACATTTAGAAAAGTGAATGAAATATTTAAACTAGGTAGAAAAAATATGCACCTAACATTCATTTAGTTGCAGACGCTCGTTACATCATCTGACTATTTTACCAATGTGTGACAGGTAGATTGAGTCGTTGAGCTTGACATCACAAGGGAAAATATTTCAGTCATTTCCTTCAATCAAGGTCTATATTAGTTTTCGAATTATTTTACGAACTTTTGATATGTGAATGCAATATCAAAAGAGAATAAACTAATCATACAACTTCAGTTGAAAAAGAAGAAAAACTTATAAAATAAATTGTGGTTAACCTTGTAATTCATCAAAATTATATGAAGCAAAACTAGATTGGTTTTAGATATATTGAAAATAATTTGAAACAATAAACAGCAGAAGTTGCGTACAGTAAAAATTATAAATAGTAAAGTGTAAAATTAAATACAATTAGATTTAGAAGAAATCATATACTAAAACTGTAACGAATTATTATGTATTTAAATAAAGGACAACAATACATGTCAACCCTTCAAACTGTCCTTCTTCTCGGGTCACTGGAGTGATCATATGTAGAAGACATGCAGAAAACCGAGGAAGACTGTAATGCGAAATATCAAAAATCATTTTTATAATAAACCTTATGGCATATCAATTGGTAAAACAATCATTGCTTTCTTGTCGAAGTACGTGACGTTCAAAGTCGATGACTCTCAAAAATTGAAAACTTTTGAAACTTTAAAAAAGAATTTACTTTTTCGCAGACCAGGCAGAAACCTCATAACCGTGCGGTATAATTTAAATAGAGTAAAATGTCTACTACTGTATTATCCGTTTTTCAAAAGTTTTCTGACATTTTATTAGGTAAGAGTTAACAAACTTGTCAAGTGGTCTCTCCAATGAACATTAGGAGGAAGAAACATAAAGATCATCATTCCTATTTATCGTATATTAAACCGCAATTATAGTATTTTCTTGACACTCAAGTCAACCGTTGACAATAAGATTCGATTCGAGCTGAAAGCCAATAAGGCGGTATCTTATCGATACTACACTTTAGTCTAAACTTCTATAGGGCCAATCGATGATCGATATCATCACTATTCTCTATCAGATAGGTCCCAAACTAGTGCCAGAACACTGCTTTTAACACCAAAGAATGTTCGTGTTTATCGGTAACGTTAATATTCAACTTAATCATGTATAATTCTCAAAAAAGAATAAGAAATATACACTTAAACAAACTTTTGGAAAAAGGAACTAATCATATCGTTTCTCTGAATAGGTATTGAATGTGTATGCAGGGGGGGGGGGGCAGGGGAGAGGGAGAAGATAGTCGCATATATGTGACAGAAATGTGTACACTCGTACCCGCACTCACACTCTAACCGTATCTCGAATGAAAACGGCTGCGAAAAGTTTTCTATGTACCATCAAAATATCAAGCGTAATACATTGACATCTATCTTTACGAGACTACTCTTTATTGGATTCTTTATAACGCATGTACTTTGTATCTCCTTGTAAGAAAACAAAATTGTTGGACGAGACAAAATAACATAACAATAAACCGTCAGTAAATACCATATTGATATAAAGAAAGATTTGTTTCATTGGACACTCATCGTAACTAAGTACAATATTCTAAAGAAAATAATACTAATGAGTAATCATGGTTCTTCGTCTCTTTTGGCGTTACCTATTGATATTATTTATCGCATTTTGGATCATCTTAGTGACTTTGCACTTTTGTGCACTGCTCGTGATGTATGTGCACGATTAAATTCGATCATCGATACATATTATCGATATCAAGTAAGCTTCAATGTTGATAGTATCTTCGTATCATTTCTTGTTTTAAATTTTATCTAATTCAATGAGTGAATGTGCCCATCATTTTAATTGTTAGCTTTCGAATGATAATAATTTGATTCCATACCAATAAAGATAAATTATATTCTAATGCAAAACTAGGTCTAGTAATCATTTTAATTAAAAGAAATAGAAGTCAACATATTAGACATAAAAGCTATCATGTTAAGTTTGAATACAATCTTCATATACGGAAATTAGCATAAACAAATATCAACGTTGCTTCAACTTTAAAAATTTTGAAAATATTTGTGTTGGTTATTTTTTTTTTGCAATAGATTTTTTGAAATTTTGTTTCTTGTTTTATACAGATGCCAGTAAAATACTATTTTTTGCTTTCATATGTTTCTGTGTTTCTGTTCTAAAGAGTAAATCTACAGTACACGAGTGATACTATTCTACACAGTTATCGTTTTACTTAATTTGAAATCGAGTTTAGATGTTTTCATTAGAAATTTCATTGAAATGATTTAAAAGTTTAAAATCTTCCTAATATTTTATTAGTATCATACAAGGATCTTCTACTATAGAATGCTTACCCATGAAAGATAATAAGAGTGTCTGAAAGAATCAGTTATAAAGCAGGCTTTTGAACAGAAGTATTGTCATTGTCTTTTATTTCCGATTCCTGCTAATGAATACCATTTCGACTAAGAGTTTTATTGAAGATGTTCCAAACTAAACAATTATGTTACCTGCGAATAAAAGTTTATTATTTATTTATTTTAATTTAACACTAATAGAATCAGTTGAAATTAGTACTTCTTACTTTCTGTATGACGAATAAA